CTGCTGATGAATACTGAAAGACGGAAAAGCTCTGATCTGATTTAAGCCAGTGAATAGACCTTAGGTGTAGTTTTACTGTTTCCAAGGTCAAGAATGACCTCATTGAACTTTCAGATGTTTCTTAAGGCTGAGCAATATTGCCCTTTTTACATTTGTGAGAAATGGCATGAGGAAGGGTAAGCCTCTTGACAGATGGGTCTTGGAGAGTCATATGCTAGTGCTTGTTTGATCTCATGATACCAGCTGCATCATAGGTGGGTTTGTGTGAGTTGTTGTTGGTGTTTTTGTTGTGTATTTTTGAACCTCTGGCTTTGGCTATCAAACCAACACAAGCCTCAACCTGTGAGATACACTGGTGGTTTATTCATGTGACCCTCAGACTTGAACATCAGAAAACACAACACAGGCTGTGCTGTGTTTTCCATGAGGTCCTCAAGGAAATCAAAGTAAAAAGAGTCTGTGTGTGTGATAGATTCTGACTGTACGTTGTGTACCCTGCCTCTTGTCCAATATCTTATTGCCACAACCACTCAGTGTCCAATGTAGTTTGTCAGTCATAGCAATTTGAAAGTCAGCCTTGTATGTGCCCACAAATGCTTAAATAAAACCTAAAAAAGACTTTGACTCTGTAGATTTTTCTATTAAAGCAAGAATTGGGACGTGAACACTTGGATTATCTACAGGTCATCAGATCTTTAGGGAAGGAGGAGGAAAGCCCCCAATCCACCCTTTCTGTCTCCATCTCCACAGACTCATGTTCAAATCAAGCGTTAGATTTATCTGTTTTTAATGACACAATCACTCACTCACAATGGAAACTTGAAATGTCTCTATTTGGTTTTTTTTTTGTATGGATGGATTCACCTCTCCGTATATATTCATTTTACTCAGTTTTGATCTGTGTGAATGTGCATGTCCATACTGTATGCCAGTGTGTGCATGCGTGGGTGTGTGCCTGTGCTAGAGGGAGGTCTTTGGCCTGTTTCTATCCAGGTGTGTGTTTTTGGCCCGTGGGGGGATAGAGCAGATGGTCCCTGTTTTTGTTTCAGAGTGTATGAGTGTGTGTGGCTGTAACTGACTGGCTGTCAGTAACGTTTCCCTGGCCAAAGATCTGTGCCTAGCAGAGCATCACTGGGGAGTATACGCCTGTTTAAAGCCAGGCTCGGGTGAAGGAAAATTCAGATTGTTTGACTGAGGGGCAGCACAACTCACATACTCAGGGAAATTAATTAAATAATAAAACTAAGGAATGGAATTTTTGTTTACATTTAACTTTTATTGCTAATATTATTCTTTTTATTTTGAATTGATGCCCCAAAGTAAATGCAACAATTTAAATATGACCTTGCAGATAAACATCAGCTTCAAGATAAAACAGCTATATGTAAGTAGAGGGTAAATATTTCTGCATTTTCTGTAAGTATTATTGTTTAATAGTGAAAAGGCAAGGCACAAGAAAAACAAGTTTCCATTCTTGTGTGCGCTGACTGTATGTGAAGCTGCACTTCTTGTAAGAGATATGGATCGGATGACCAGTGTGGGTGTCCATTGGGTCCACTGACCTGAAGATAACATTACTGGCTTAAAGAGTAGCCAAACAATGAGAAATTCTGTACCGACGAGTATACAGATCAAATTGTTTTAGAGTTTGAAATATATTCTGTATACTAAAGATGGGTGTCGGCACAGGAAAATAACTAAGTAGCTCTAAATAAAAGACTAATAAAATATGGAAACATCCTCCAGACTGAAGCACTGATTTGTTGGATGGTGTGAAGGAGAAAGTTTTCACAGGTCTCTGCAGAGTCCTGTGAAAACTCCACTCCATGATTCAGTAGCTTGTAGAATAACCTTTAGCAACAGTAACTTGATGTAATCATTTTCTGCATGACTTCATCATTCTCTGTTGTGGAGGAATTTCACCTTTACACCGGAAACAGCGTTTCAGTTGGTTTTCGGGCGATTGCAACACCTTAATTCTTTTCTTTTTTCATCTTCGGATCTCACTTTTTTTTTCTCTTTTCATCAGCCACAGTGTTGTAGATTCGCAGCTGTTTCTAGGATAGTCACCAACATCGCCAAAAAACATATTCGAGGGCTCTTGTGTAGTGAAACAAACTTATAGAAGCTGTGAACATGCTGTTAAGTTGGGAATTTTAACACAAGAGTCTGCATTTACTCACTTTTACCATTTTCCACCCCTAGACATTGGTGCTCAGTCTGTAACTTAGTCCACTCGATTCATAATAAGTGGGTACCACATACTAGATAAAGTTTTGAAACCCTGGAAGCTTATAGCCTTCATGAAAGGAAGTTTGAAATTTCAGGAACCTGAAAGACATTTATCACAAACATGTGAGCCCAGACTCATAAATCATGTTCAAAATATTTGAGATTACTCCTTTAAATTGATTACACAGGCGAGCGCAGCCGGGATGGCGTGTTTCATTTTTAGCACCACAATAAAATCATTTGAAAGGACTGTTTGATGTGACTGACTGATCAATTTTAGTAAGTTATTTTTTATCCAACACACACTCGCACGCACAATTACCACTGTAACTGATCTCTTTATTGAGGCTTTAATAGAAATACAGACAGCTGGAAATTTATTCATCATCTTTTTTAAATACGATTTTTTTCTTGGCATCTTATTGCATAATTAAATTGAATTAAATGAAACAAACAAGCAAACAAACAAAAAAAAATGTAACTGACTGAAATGAACAGAGGCAAAGCAAAGCTTGTTCCAAATATGAAGTCAGCTGATTGAATGTTATCTGATGCTGCACAGCTCTAGGACACAATGTTTGATATGGTGCACGGTGTGATTAAGAACAAGGTATAACGGGTGGTGGAGAGACAAAGCAGCCTTTGTAGAAAAAGAAATCAGCCTTAATTTTTTTTTGCTGTGAGTGTGCATATAGCTCAGTGTAATACTCTTGCCAGTAAGGTCGTCCTTTAACCTGCTGTTAATTTATGCTGACATCTGTGGCAGCTTTACGCCTGGCTGCTAAGTGTGCCTTAAGTGTCTTTGTGGACACAGTTTTGTGGCCACTGCTGCAGTGCAAATGCTGCAGCAATGACTGTCTGAAATAGTCAAGCTTCCATCTAGAAACTCAAGAGGCATTTTCAGTCACATTTTGTCTTGTTAGCAGATTAACATAAAAAAGTGATTCAAAATAAAAACAAGTAACGAAACCTTTGCTATGACCGGCAAATGTTGTGCAATTTGTTTCACATCAGATCGCTTTTGTGATCTGATGCTAGCTACACTCAGAGATGTGATTACCCAGCTACTGTGCTGATCCAAACCACAGCCTAGTAAAAATCGTATTCCTTTGTGCCTTAAGTGCAGCTTGTCTTTGTCCAGTAATCAAGTCTCTTCATCTCTTTTCTTTTTAGGTGATCCCATCATCCAAACCCTTGTTGACTGCCTCGCTTGCTTTATCCAGAGGGATGCCCTATTGATTCCTACTTTCTAACAAAGCCCATGGATTACAGCAAGGGTGTTGAAAAGGCCTTGATCACAGCTGCATCACCACTATGACATATTTCAAGTCAAAAAGAGCCCAAGTTGAAGACTGACTGATTTTTTTTTTGTGGGGGACATCCATCTTACTTTTTTTTTTTTTTTTTAAATTTTGAGCATGTTTTTCTTTGATTAAGTTGATTTACTTGTTCGATCATACACATCTCTGTAGTGCACGCCACTCTTCCTGTCACCATGTACGGCAGTTCCCGTTCCGTCTCAAAGCTGGATGTTGTTGGATCCAATGGGAACGGGTCAGCATCTGGGAGTCCCGGTCGCTCCCCACGCCTGCCTCGCTCCCCACGTTTAGGACACCGGCGAAACAGCAGCAGCAGCTCCACTGGAGGACTTACAGGCACTGGTAAAACCTTATCCATGGAGAATATTCAGTCTATTAATGCTGCCTATGCAACTGGTGCCATGTACTTCACTGACACAGCTGAAGACCCGGTCGGCATTGGGAGTCTGAGCAGTGGGTTGAATCCCTCGCTGCCCAAAAGCACCATGACCCTGGGGAGGGCTGGGGCCAGGGTCCCCTATGGGGTCAGAGCGGCTGTAATGGGGAGTAGTCCTAATATAAACTCTGGAGGAGGAGGAGGAGGTGGAAGTGGAGCACTTGTACCCAGTGATGCAATAGCGTTCGGTGGGGAAATGCAAAACCAGTCTCCACAGGCGGCTACTGTGCCTCACTCTATGAGACAGGTAAAGTGCTGAATTTTCTTATTTTCATGACAGAATTTTGTTTATAGCATATATGACATACCTAAAGTGTGGTAGAAGGGAAAACATTTTCAAAAGGTGCTGTATTATGTAAATACTCAATGGTGATTTTTCTAGTTCAGCTTTTTGGTTTTGGGATGTCAAAATTCACGTTTCTCTCAATTTAAGCAAAATACAGAAATCTGAAACAAGCATTAAAAAAAGAGAGATTCCATTTTGCTTGGGAAGCGTCGGTGATAAATCTCAAACTCATTTTACATCATGAGCCAAATGGAACCACTTTGGTCTTAACTGACCAGTTAGACTCCTTTTTCTGTCAGAGTAAAGAAGTTTAGAGAAATTTTAATATCAATAAGAAAGTTCAGCAATAAATGTCAGTTTTTCTGCATAGAAAAGAAATGCTGCTTTGAGCTTAAATTGTAAAATTATAGAAAAAGTTGTGCTAACTCACTGTGCTGACTGTCCTGCAATTATAAAATGGATAATTTTTGTTAATTGATAGAATGCCCTCTTTTTAGTAAATAGTGAATAAACAGAAACCCCCTGTCATTTAATTGTTTGTCTGTTATTTATTTACTTTGGTGTAGTATGAAGAGCCATGGGGAAGGTCTGTATCAGTAAGAAAAGCTGTAAAACTAATGAAAATACAGTTAAAAAGTCTAAAATTTATGCGCTTCTTCAAAAGCATTTTCCAAAGCAGTCCAGTTGGGCACTTTGGAGTTTTAGGCTGATCAATTATGGCCCTGTGCCTCATGTTTAACACCCGTGGTCTAGATGCAGCATGTGGGATTTTTGAGTTGAATGGTTAATTTTTCCTCTTAATTCCACCCTACACCAAATGAAACAACAAAAGTGTGGGCATTCACACAGTGTGTTTAAATAGACTAAGGTCTGCCGTCCTACTCCCTCTGCACTATTAGTCATAACCTGCTAGCTCATCTCTGAAGAGTTAGCTCGCCTCCTCCACTTGTTTCTTATTTCTTTATAAAAGCAGCAAAAATAAAATTAATCTCTTCAGCTGTAATTACTGTTACAGGGTTTTCTATTCTGCATTTCACATGCATGTTTTGCTTAACCTGGTCTACTTTTGCACTTGCAAAACTGGCTCTGCGCACAGCCTAGAAACCTCAAATAAGTTTTTCAAAGCCAAAGCAGAGTCTGTTTGTTAAAAATGAATCCGAGTTCTGTTTAATTCTTAATAGAGTCGTTCTGGTGGTATCATGAATGAAACATTGATATTTTAAACATTTTCTCATTCCTGGTGAAATGTTTTATGTAGTATATGAAGGGAATTTAAGCACAGTTATTCATGACCTGCTAAAATACACCCAGTAGCCTCTGTATTAGGTACACCTTGCCAGCACCAGGCATTTCCTTCATAATTGTCTTAACTCTTCATAGATTACATAGATTCAACGAAGTGCTAAAACTATTCTTCAGAAATTTTGGTCTATACTGATGTGATGGCATCACACAGTTGCTGCAGATCGATCAGGTGGACATCCATGATGCACCTGTTCTACCAGACTGTGCTATATTGAATTGAAATCTGGTGACTGTGGAAGCCATCTGAGTGCAGTGAACTAATTGTCATGTTCAAGAATCAGTTTGAAGTGATTTTAGCTTTGGAACATGGTGTGATATCCTGCTGGAAACAGTGTCCTCATCAGGAGATGGGTACACTTTGGTCATAAAGGGATGGATATCGTCAGCAACAGTGCTCAAATAGGCTGTGACAGTTAAGCAATGCACATTGTGAACTATGGGGCCCAACCCCTGGCAAGGAAATAATTTCCATACTTTTACACCATCACCATCATCCTGAACCAACTAATCATCAAAATGAATCATTATACTGTATGAAAGTTATTTGAAAAGAATAAAAATGCAGACATGGTTCGGTGGTGCCACATGCATTTTGGTATGTGGGCACCACCAAAGCATGCCCACATACCTAAATGCAAAGTTGCTGCCATATGATTGGCTGATTAGATATACAAGCAGTTAAACACATGCACCTAATGAAGTCGCCGATGGGTGTATATCTGGAATACTCTGTTCTGATCTTCTAGCGATTAATTATTTGCCTTGTTAGACTTTAAAGGCAGTAACTCTCCCAAATGGCTGCGCATGTTTGTTTTTTCAGATTTGTGTGGAATTTCAGTGTCAGCTGTTGCTTTTGCACAGAGTGCTTCATGTTCAGTGTTGTCGTCCAAGATCACTTCACAAACTGCGAGCAGTGGCAGCTTCAAACAGAAAAAATGAAAATAATACGGATGAGCAGAAACTTTTAGTATTAGTGGTGAAAAACATAGTGGACTAATACTGTTTGTGTGTGTGTGTTCTCAGGTGAGAGAAGGTGCAATGTCAGACCTTCAGACTCAGTTGAGAGAAGTGCTGAGGGAGAACGAACTGCTGCGCAGAGACGTAAGAACGCTTGTACTCGTACACCCACGCCTATGAAGATAAATTCATTTATAATGCAACATATGACATCTTCTGTTTGTTTCATTGTCACTTCCTGTGGGAATTGCTGTTGTAAGATTATAGCTATAAGGAGAATTTACTTATGCAAACAAATAAACACATTTATTAACATGAAGTCACTGTGCTTGATTTTGTATTTTAACAGCTAGAGGCCAAAGAGTCCAAGTTGAGTTCTTCTATGAACTCCATTAAGACGTTCTGGAGTCCAGAGCTGAAGAAAGAGAGAGCGCTGAGGAAGGATGAGGCCACAAAGATGGCTGTCTGGAAGGAACAGTACAGAGTCGTACAGGAAGAGACACAGGTAGGGAAATGATGTGTGCGTCTGTGTGTGCTTGTTTATGTCTCTGTGTGTTTCTGTGTTGCAAAATCTAATACAGTGATTCATTGTTTATATCCCTGGACTGTCTTAGCTCACTGCTCAGCTGAAGAACAAATTAAGACATGGACAGAGCAGTATGTCAACTTTAATATCCTATTTAGACTTCAGTTATTTCCCCCATCATTTCAGCTCATCCTGGATTTGTAGAAAGTCTTTATAGCTGTTGCTTTAGACAGCTTTTAGCCTCAACTAGCTCTGACATAGCTCTTCCTCTCAGTTTTGCCCCATTTTTTTAAATGCAAAAATGCTAAAGAAATGATATCCTGATAATTTTTCTGGACTGTTCTGGTGGATTTGTCTTGCTGCTGCAAGACATCAGCAAAGATGAGTAAACAGATGAAATAGGCTGCTTGGTTGGGGACTCCCAGCTGTCTGTTGTTGCTGAAGCCATCTGGATAAGAAAGCGATGCAGCAGGCTGAAATATTACACAAGTGATGACACGCAGACATGTGCACTTGCAGTCACTCACACTAAGTAACACAGCATGGAAGATGCTAGCAGCAAAGGGCCAGCAGTTTAGAGGTACTTCACAACGCGACTAACTGAGAAGACACGAAGACGCAGTTTCCCCTGTTGCCTTCTCCCTTTCTCGCTCTCTCACTTTCTTAAGCTTTGGAAGCGTTTGTTGCACTTAAGGGAACACAATGTGTTGTTGTCAACTCACTTAATATTTTTACTTTACCTATCTCTGTCGGCTTCACTCCACAGGAAGAGGAGGTGAACTCAAAGGGAAAGGAGAAACTAGCACAAGCATAAATGACAACGCTAAGCGATGACTCTAAACTGAACTGAAAATAGAGTAGTGAAAATAAATAGGACAAATAATGCAAAATAGATTTTTTTTTCGTTTGTTGTTTATTTATCTTGATACTCTTGTCCAATTCAGTGCATTTATAGACTTGAATGTCCAAGGCCAGTGTAAAAAAAAAGAAAAATATGTAAATAAAAACAGAATGCAATGATTTTCAAATCTTATAACAGAAGCTGTCAGCTGATTTTAATTCGATGGGAGCAACATGTGTCAAAGATATGAGAGATGGAACAAAAAAAAAGATGGAAAAATAAGCAGCTGTAAGAACATTTTGAAACTAATTATGTTAAATGGCAATAGATAGAATGCAATTATCTGGGATAAAATGCATCTGTAATTTCAAAATAATCTTCCTCATCTTAGAATTGCCACAACTATGAATAATTGAAAATCTAGAGAAATCTCTGTGCGCAGGGACGGAGGACAATACTTAATTTTGTATGCCTGTGGCATTCAGGCCCTCAGATAGCACTGGATGAAATAACAGCCACGATTCTGATGTGGAGACCATTGGACAGGGTCAGGAAGACTTTTAGAAATCACCGTAAGTGAACATAGTTCACCGTGCCATCTACAAATATAGGTCATGCAAACAAAGTAGCAGCCAAGTGTGGATGTGACAGAAACACTGCTCTCCGGGTCAAAGCTCATTTAAAATGGACTGAGGCAAAGTAGTCAGACAAATCAAAATGTGAAATACTTTTAGGAAAAAATGGACATTGCGTCCTTTGAGGTAAAAAGGAGCGACACCATCTGGCTTCTTATACGATACAATTTTATTTATATAACACGTTTAAAACCAGGGGGTACACCAAAGTGCTTCACAGTAAAAATAACAGTAAATGATTACACTAAACAGTAAGTCATTAAATCAAGGTAAAATAGAGAAAGTAGAGAACACAAACAAACAGCATTAGTAAGTAGAGATAGGGAGAGATCATGATTATCCAGAGAAATGAGTAGCGATACAGCAATTAATGAGCGATGAGAATTAGTCGGAAAAGCCAAGTTTTCAAGCGTGCTTTAAAGGATTGAATGGAGTCAGAGGCACAAATTGTAGCAGGAAGACTATTCCAGAGGTTTGGTGCTATAGGGGCAAAAGCACGATCACCTCAGGCAGTGCCTGGGCTGGGCCAGAAGTAACTGACTGGAAGATCGTAAAGAACGGCTGGGAGTATAGAGACTAAGGAGGTCGGTGAGATAGTCAGAGGCAAGGTTGTTTAGGCATTTGAAAGTAAGCAGCAGAACTTTAAAATCAATACGAAATTTAATAGGCAGCCAATGTAAGTCAGAGAGCACTGGAGTAATAGAGGCAAACTTTCTAGTTCCGGTTAGGAGACGAGCCGCAGTATTCTGAACGAGCTGTAATCTTTGGAGGTGAGCAAGTTGGAGTCCAGAGTAGAGCGAGTTACAATAATCGAATCTGGAGGTCACAAAGGCCTGTATCCCTTTTTCAAGATCAGATATTAAGTGTTTGACCTTTGAAATTTGGCGCAATTGGAAGAAACCAGATTTAACCACTGAGGAAACCTGTTTATCCAGCTTAAATGAACTATCCAGACAAACACTTAGATTACTTACAGTATCTGTAAGAAAGCCAGCAAAGGGACCAAATCGGGCAGCTAGCTGGTCTCGTGGAGTGTGACTATCAAACACCATAATCTCAGTTTTCTTCTCCTTTAAAATGAGACAAAGGGCTGACAGCCGCTCTGTAACCTCTTTCAAGCAGTCAGACAAACGATTCAATGAAGCTGGCAGGTCATTAGACAATTGGAAATAGATTTGAATGTTGTCAGCGTTATAGCACTCGTTTCTCTAATGGTATGGGGGACTATGGGTGCTGAAGAGAATATACACATTTTAGAGCAACACGTGCCATCCAGATGATGTCTTTTAACTGAAATCCTTGCAAGTTTCAGTAAGACAACGCTAAACTGCGAACTGTATCCAATACAACGATATGGCTTTGTAGTAGAAGAGTCCGAGTGCTGAACTGGCCCGCCTTCATCCCAGACCTTTCACCAGCTGAAAACATTTGGCCTATCATGAAACGAAACACAGGTTAAAGAAGATGAAGGACTGTTGAGCAGCTAGACTCAAGAATAGGGCAACATTCCCAAATGTCCAGCAACTCTGCCCAGCACCTGGTCTCCTCAGTTTTCAGATGTTTGCAGACTGTTATGAACTTTTTGAGATGTGCTGCTTCAATAACGTTGCTTCAAGATGATCTTATTTGTTCCTTATAATGGTACATTTTCCAGGTTATATATGTTTTTGTGTTCAATTATGAATAGATTAAGGGGTTATGAGATTTATAAATTGTTGCATTCTGTTGTTTGTTTACATTTTATGTAGAATCCAATTTTTTGGAATTGGGGTTGTATTTGTTGGAAGAAGGTGATGGTATGTCTAGGTGGAGTTAAACGGTGTCTTAAGATGTTTTTAAGTGTAAATGAGTCATTCCAGGATTTGGTGGTGGCAGCAGACACCTAAAGCTTGTAAAGATCGTTGTAGCCGTACTTAATGTGAAGACAAGGCTTTATGCTTGATTGGCGAGCTAACAGATGATGTCACATTTCTGTCATAGTGGTGTCACCAGTTCCTATAACATTTTACACATAAACCTGAACTGATCGTGTCATCCACTTTTGCTGATACAACCATGTCACTGGCCCATGTACTAGTTTGTCATATTGGCAATTTAACACCTGCTCTGATCTCTGCATGCGTGTGTGTTTGTGTGTGTGTGTGTGACAGGCTTTGATGTTTAAATGCGGAAAAAAAGTGGGAAAGGATTTCAGGTTGTGAAATTACATCACCAAATATTAAATCAGTGTAAGAGAAATTTCAGCCAGTTTCACAGGTGTTGGAACATGCGCGGTGTGTGCGTGGCTCCTGATATGCTGAGTTTAGATGTGTGTTTTGCGTGTCCGCATTAATTCAAAGTGGTTCAGTGTGTGAGAATAGATCAAACAAAGGAGCACATGATAAGTTGATTAATCTATCATGTACTTGGCCAGCTGCCAGCCCTACACTAATCCTCAGCTGCCTTCACACACACACACATGCACACACTGCTTTGTGCGTGTGCATGTGTGTGACTGTGCTGTGCCATAACAGTGAGTGAATGCACATGCCAAGGCATGATCTGTGTTATTGGAAAATATGCTCTGTACGCTCACCCCCCCTCTCCTTTCACTTTCATTCCCATTCTTTCCTCCAGATAAATCACACCCATTTAACACAATCCGTTTCACTGCCTGCTCTCGCCGTCCTGCCACTTTCTCTTTTTCTGTCTAATTCTTTCAGTGTTTTCTGGCTTTTTGTTTTCCTCCCACTCCCATTTTTCTCCCCTCTTAGTCATTCTCCTTCTCTTCTATTTCTGTCATCACATGCTAAGTCAGCTTTCACATTCTCTTTCCACCCTCCCTCCTGCCGCTCTCTGTCTTCGCCATCATCTTCGCGTTAGAAATCGAATTAAGTTACCTCCCAGTAATTTTGGGATATGTGAGTTCGGAGACACACGCACACACATGCACAGTGGCTCACGCCCCTGCTGAGGAATGCTCATCTCTTCTCCACCCTCTGTCTTGCCTTTCCCTCCTTTCCTCCTTACTTATTCACCTCCTCCTACATGCTCAGCCTACTATCTTTACCTCTGTTCCACCAGCTTCTTTCTTTATCTTTTCCTCTTTTTTCTCTCCGGACTTCCTTGTGTCTTTCCTTTCCTCACAAGTACATTCAGTGTCTCATTGTTAAAGCCAGGAAGACAGGCAGCCTTGATCTCATATGTATAGAGGCAAGATCCAATTAATATTATAGCTTGAACATATATATTTTGAACATGTGTACTTTATTTAGTGTTAAATCATGCAAAACTTCACATCTCATTTAATTCAATGAGTGTTTTTACTGCTTTCTTACATTAAATTGACTTATGATTGGAAAAAATAGAGCAAAAATACAAAAAAATAAGCAAAAATCTTTTTAATAGGCTTAACTGAGGCTTTTTGTGTGATGATGGAGTTAAAGGGGTTCGTTTAGTGTGGCATTCTTAAAGATTGTTGAAGTTAGGATTTTATTAGTATAATATGAATACCGACGCTCTTG